AAAATAAAACCACTTTTGTTATTGTTGTTTTGGTACTGGGAATTGAACTCAGGGTCTCGTGCTTGATAGGCAAGTGCTCTACCACTGGAGCCACACTCTTGGCCCTAAGCATTTTCCTTTACTAGCCACCAAATTGTCTGGCTGTCTCTCCTCTTGTGCCTTAGATGTTCTGGAAGTCCTCTGGGTGTGTGCTGTTTTTCATACATCTGTGCTCACCATTGTCACTGCAGGGTTAGACATGCTTAGTATTGTGCCAGCCGCATTTTGTAGACAAAGAAACTGATGTGTAAAGTGAGGAGCATGGGGCTTCAGCTTCCTTCCCTGTCTTGGGGCACTTGGGCTGTCATTGTGTTGTAATGGGAGTGGATTGTTGAATGTCACAACCTGTTCAGTGCTTTCTGTGTCTGGGTGATCATGCTCCCAGGCTGTTGCAAGTCAGACTTTTTAATGTTTGCCATTAGAGCAATTATTAGTAATTCCATTTTAGTTACATTAGTTCAGATAACCCTGGTACCAACTAAACAGGAAGAGATGTATTTAGTTGAGAACTTTTTTTCATTTTAATTAAAGAGTTTTACCTCTGCCAAATTGTATAACTCCTTTCTACAATTTGTTTCCTGGCTGCTGTTAAGTAATCTGAAATTCTCTAACAAGCAGAATTATTTCTATTTGTCATAATACTGTTTGCTTTCTTCTGTATTCTGAGCTTTCATACTGAATGAGACAGTTCTCTCTCTCTTGCAACATTCTGGTGAGTTTCTTATTTATTTTCTTTAAGCATCCTTTCCCCCTCCCTGAAAGCCTTTGGAAAAGAGAGACAGAAAGATAGATAGACAGATACAGACAGACAGACAGACACACATACAGAGGGTCAAAAGTGAGGTTTTCAGTCTGTCTCAATAGTTCACTGTTCTTTCCCACTGGAGATGTGAGGGTGGAGCTGAAAGCAGATGATAGGGAGCTGGGACAAGCAGGTTAGGCTTGGAAGGCTCACTCTATTGGTCAGTTGAATACAGTGAACTGCACCCCGGTTTTAACGATGTTTAGGACATTGCAGTCTGCACTGTAGGCAGCACCATCTAAACAGTTCATGCCGCGTTTGCCTTTACCAATGCTATTATTCTAAAAAGGAACACAAAAGGTTTAGAGGTTCCCACTTGATCATATTTTTCTTGAAAGAAAATTGTAGCCTGTACAGCCATGGACTGTTGTGTTTCTCATAAGATTCAGATTGGGATCTGTGACTTGGAAATTCATCCAAGTGTGGCTGGCTAATACCTCATGCTCACAAGCTGTCCTATACTATTGTGTGTACAAGTGAATGCACGTGTGTGTGTGTGTGTTTTGTTGCCCTATCCTAGCAAGCCTCTTCCTGGCTATTATTTAAAGTGAAAGACAAATGCAAATGTTGTCAACATGCCCTGTTGGGAATCCTTTAAGAATTTGCCCCCTACTTTTTAATCAAATGAGTAAAATTGTCAAAAAATTAAAGGATAAGATAAAGATCAGTTCTTTAATAGCCAATGCTTGCCTGGCATACATGAGGCCCTGGGTTCAATCCCCACCCCTGCAAATTAGAAAACAAAACAAAAATACCCCAAGAGAGTCAATACGACTCTTTCTATTTCCATTAAGATGAAGTATAGTAAACAAATGTCTGGAAGCAGTGTGCATCCTTGTCTGTGTTTAGCTCTTTTGGCATTTGGGGCATTACTTTAATGGGATATGTGCTGTGTCACACAGACAAATGATGAACTTGGTTTATTTCACTGTGATAAGAGCTTATTTACATATTTGAACTCTAAAGCCTTATATGCATAGAAATAGCAGTATAAACCAGTGAAAAATGTAAATAAGCAGTTTTATTTTGCATTCACATACAAAGGAGTATTGCCTTCTGGTTGTTCTGAATTAGAGTTTTGTTAGATGCTGGCTCCCCAAATACCATCAACACAGCCTACTGGCAAGCTGTGCCATCATTATAAAGGGGACTCCACTGCCTTAGTGGTGTCATGGTGAGGGTGAGGAAGGCTGGAATCCATTGAGAAGTTGGAGTTTGGTTTAATAAAGAGTTTTATTCTAAGGGTGGTGGTGACCACAGTGAGGACTGGCAGGCTGAGAGGGGAGCCTGGTTATGACTGGGTAGGGATCATGCTACAGTTTTGAATCAGATTGAAGTCATCTATAAACTGTCTGTTGATAGTTCCTACCAGAGTTGATGAGTCTTGAGGGAAGTTCCTGCAGTGAACAATTAGTCATCTGCCTGGGCAGGAATCCCTGGGAGCAGTAAACTTATGCTAATGAGACAGTGGAGCAATAAAGTCATGGTAATGTGGACAGTGAGCCGTGTGGGGGAGCGGGCAGTTTTGTCCTTGGTATCCTGCTTGTGTGTGGGAATGCATAGTTTCTGTTCTCAGATTTTACTCAAGAGGCATCTGAGGTAGAGCTAACAATGGTGGATGCCCCATGTAGCAGCACAGCCAAACCCTAACAGCCAACTTTCATAGGTACTCACCAGGAAAGAACTAGTAGTCATTCACAGACTTCTTCATTCATCCAGTATGCAAAGGTTTAGAGAGCACATACCACGTGCCAGGCACTGTGTTAGTACTTGGGACACCACAGGTAGAAGACAAAGTCCCTACACTCTTGGGCCTTTATTCTAGTGTGATACAGACTGGAGCAAGCTTTCTCTCACTCCTGGTTATTATTGAACCTAGCTGAGCCTAACCGTGGGTGACAAGAGATGCAGAAAGGACACAGGATAGATAGACAGACAGAAAGTGGGATCAGGTGTGTTGGGTACTTGGGTAGAGACACCCAACAGCCTCATTGCTTCTTATCCCTCTTAATCTCTTCTCTTTACTCTGCTTCTTTTTTTCTTTAAGGCCTTACTCTTTTGCAATTCTTTAAAACTTTGCTTCTAAAAGTCTTCTTTTCTGTTCTTTTAAACCTCTTTCCTTAGACTCACTCTGTCCCATGTTTTCTCTTAGCTCTTCTTTAGCATAATTTCTCTTGAAGTCTTTGCCCTCAGACTTGCACTGTCTCAGACTTGCACTGTCTCTCTCTTTTAGCTTTCTTAAAGTCTCGGTCCTTAGACTTGCATTGTCCTATGTTCTCTTTCGTTTAGCTTTTCTAAAGCCTAAGTTCTCGATGTAGGCTTGTACTGTCCTCGCAAGCTGCCAACCAATTCTATCAACCGCTCTTTAGCAACTCCCCTTTAACAATTCTCCTTCAGCAATTCTTTTCCCTTCAGCAACTCATTTTCCTCTTCAACAATCCTCCCTCTAGCTGTTTCCCTTCAGCCAAAAAATCCCCCATCAAAAAGCCTCATGTCATTCAAAAGCCTCCCTTCATCAAAAAGCCTCCCTTCATCCAAAAAGCCCCCAAAAACCTCATGTCCTCCTTCAGTGAGTCTTTTATATCCAATGGTAAACAAGGAGGTGGAGCACAGTTTGGGGGGAGGGGCATGACATTGTAACAAGAGAAACCTGCATTTCTGCTTCTAAACAACTTAGGAAAAGCAGCTGAGCTGCATCTCACCTTCTCGCTCTTTTCTGCTGCTGGGGCTGTGCCAAATCTCAGCCTACAGATTATTTGACATAGACATCTTAGGAAAAGCAGCTTCTCTGCATCTTACTCTAGCCTTATTCTGTGGCTGGGGCTGTGCCAAACTCAGCCTGCAGAATGTTGAGTACAACTGTACTTATGTCCTCATAAGCTTCTTCTACTCCACTCTCCAAGGTACAGCACTGTCTGACTCAGGCTGCAAACACACCCAGCAGCATTGCTTACTGGAGGGTCTGTGGCTCAAGTTCCCCCTGCACTGCTTATGTCAGCAGATCATGTTTAGGATGTTAAAATGAGGCTTGCTTTTAAGGTGTGTTAATTGCCAGGGAGCTCATAGGCATTTGCTTTCATTTATTTACTTATTTTTTGAGACCCAGTCTTTACTATGTTACCCAGACTGGTCTTAAATTCCTGGGCTCAAGTAATCCTCCAGCCTCAGCCTCCTGAGTGCTTGGATTATAGGCATATGCCACCATGACAATTTGGGCCTAGTTTTGGCAACACAGGCAAATGTTTTTTCTTTTACATATTTACAACACAATGTTTATCATAGATGAGCTGTGCTCCAGGTACTGGACCATTACCCTAAGAATATAGGTGTAAAAACTCTATACAAATTAGGTACTTTTAATATACACAAATAATGGAGATTTTTAACAGCCAATCACAGTTCAATTCCATAAGTACTTAACGGCTTGTGGTATTACCAGGTACTATGCTAGGCATTAGGAATTGAAAACCTTCCAGAACCTGTCAGCCTGTAAGATGATATAGTCAGGAAAGAATGATATTGCAGAGCAACAAACACTGCACTAGAAGCCATAACACAGAGCCCTCTGCCAGGGGCATTCAGAGGCCCAGGCCCAGCTTGTTGCAAAGCATTGTGGTGACTTTGGCAATCCTGAAGTAATCTCAGGGATATGTGAGGTTGGAGGAAGTCTGTGGTCTTGTTTTATGGACATAGGATGCTGCTTTCTTTTGCAGCTTCATGTCAGGAGGAGCAGCTCTAAGGACAAAGGGTGGAAACAGAGCTCCTTTATGGTTTTGATCTCTGAGAGCTTCCTGTGCAAGTAATAGGATCTCTTTAGTGGATACCTTGGAAATTGCCTGTTTTTCCCCCTGCCCCCAAAGGGTGGTCTTTTCCCAGAACCTGGCTTCCTTAGATGACTTTCCTGCACATTTAGTGACAGGTGAAGGCAGTGTGTAGTGTAACTGGTGGGAAGAACATTGTACAATGGTGAGCAGATCTGGATCCAGCATCTGTTGACTCCCTGAGCTTGGGTAAATCCCCAGACTGCTCTACATTCACAGTGAGGTGCTGAGATTAGCTGCTTTTGGTTCCTTCCAGCTCTGACATTTTTATTAGGGCCAAATACAAAACAAATTCCGTGAATGGAGAAACTAATGTGGCATGTTTTCTTTTTCTCCAGTGTCTCTACATAGAGAGTCTCTTTTACACCTGGCCGTGAGATGGGGCTTGGCTAAGCTTTCTCGCTTCCTCCTGTGTCTCCCTGGGGGAGTCCAGGCCTTGGCCATACCCAATGAAGACGGTACCACGCCGTTAGACTTAGCTTCACATGGTGGACATTCCATGCTGATGGAAGACATCACAAAGTGAGTTCAGCTGCCTGATAGTTTCTTTCTTAATTGTTTTTTATAAAGTCTGCCAAGTTAAAGAAGAATGGAAACAATCAAGCCATAAGCTAATGTTGATTTATGTTTTTTACTGTTAGTTCTCATGTACCCAAACAAATAAACATTTATTACTTAAACAGATGTGTTTGGTGTTAGCATTTCACAAAAGAGAGACAGGTTAAAAACACTCTCCAATGTCTCCATAGGGGAGATAGTGAAAAAAAGAAGTTGGGGAAACAGTAGACTAACCCCTAGTTATCTTTTAGGTTTCAAATTTCAATTCCTGAGTTAAATTCTTTTATGATTATGATGAATAAATATTAATCACAATTTACATTATATGTGGCCATTTGTTTCACATGTCTCCCTTCTGTCACTTGAGAGCTGGGATCATTTGTTTTGCCCTCTGAACTATTCCTAGTATAGTGCCAAGCTCACAATTTTCATTGAAAGAATATGAATTTATTGTATCAGTGGATAACAAACTCTATGGTAGTATTAACCAATGAAATGGTCATTACAGTTTAGTTAAGTAGCGTAAAGGAACTTTTTAGTAACTATAAATTTCTCTGTTTTGACGATGATATCAACACTTCCAATGACAAATGAGTGTATTGTTTGTTACTTAGAATGGTTCAGATCAATCACTATTCTTAACTTTTGAAAGGGAGATACATATATAGTGATTGTCTTGATTTAACATGTGGTAAAATACAAAATGTAAATGGAAAAATACAGTGAAAATTACAAAGTACTACATAACTATTAAATGTTAGCATATAGTTACTTGTTGTTTCTGACATGATGGACTGGTTTTTCTTGTTTGGCTCATGGAACTCAATGTAATTAATTTAATGTAACTAATTAGTAATATAGTGCATAAGTGAATGTTAGAGCAGAAATCAAAGCTTCCTCTTTTTTATTTTCCCCATTTGATCAAATGACCATCATCCAAGGGACAAGCCTGTCCAAGCTTCTCCAAAGGGAATTGCCTTTTTCTTTTGGTTAACATGACCCCATGTTCTTAGCTAAAAATTGCAAGGCAAGAATGTGTCCTTTGAATTACTCATCACAGATGGTTCATTGTCCCCTGAGGTTCTGGAGGCAGACTTCTTCATCTGCTGGTAGCTTTGCAGCTCTTTTCTATGTCTAAGATCAGAAGATATTATTATGTATTTTGAAGGTTTATATGTTTAATAAACCTGCTCATGGATGGGATTGAAAGTAGACTATAAACTCAATTCTGATCGAATGCTTACAGGCTCCATATCCTGAATTAGCAGCAGTGGTCTTACTACTCAGACTCAGAGCCCATTCATCTCACTGGCTTATTTTTGGTATGGGATTAGTTTTCTGGAATATTCTGGAGTCTTTGCAGCAATTAATGTGAAGAGTTTGGAGAAGTTCCCTCAATCTTTCAGTTCAACCACTCTCTTTTGATCTCTCCTTTTCACTCCATATGGTGGAGATCATATTTATTTCACAGTACAGATGCTTCTTGACTTACAATGGAATTCTGCTCCCACAAACCCATTATAAGTTGACAATATCCTAAATTAAAAATGCAATTACCACACCTAACCTATGAACATCATAGCTTAGCAACACACCCCCCTGTGGAGTATCAGTTGTTTACCTCTATGACTGTGGACTGAACAGGGGATGTGACTTGTGGCCCCTGCCCAGCACTGGTGGCATTGCTACTCTGAGAAAAGATCAAAATTCAAAATTTGAAGTAAGATTACTAATGAATTCATATAATTTCTGTACCCTTGTACAGTTTAAAAATTATAAGTCAAACCATCATAATTGCAGACTGAATAATATGTTTCTGTAAAACAAGCATTCATTAACAAAATGAGGTCATGTTAGACAAAGAGGAAAGAGGCACAGAGCTGATTCTGTGAAGTGAAGAATTCAGGAGCAATGTGTTGGAATGTGACATGGTGAACATCAGTGTTTTTCACCTGCAGAATCTTTACTGTGTTATTGTATGATCTTATAAGCTATCCAGAATATCATGATACTAACCATGAAGCCTCAGAGAGCTAAAAATATGCAATTGTTCTTTGCCAAGATAGAACCAAAAATAAACTTATAGTCAAGAACTTAATTTGGGAATATTGTTCCTTTGTTAATGAGTGTATTCAAGAATACAGCATGATCAATTTCATGCATGTTTCAATTTGCATGAGAAAGTGATTTAGGACAGTGGTACCAGTGTGTTAGGAATACCTCACTTGTTTGTAACATCCAAACCTCACCAGGCTCCCTGGAGAGCCTGTTTTCCACAGTAATCAGCTAATAAACTCTTGGCTGCCAGCTAATTTGTTCTACATGTGCTCTGTTAAAGAGAAAGGCATCTTTGCTGATTAAAAGGAGAAATACTGAGGTAAATTTCTGTGTTTAAAAGTCATCTCTGCTTCATTTTTTGTATAAGCCTTTAAAGTCTACAGTATACTTCAATCTCTCTTCAGTAGATATCTCCTCTAGGTGGAAAAAGAGATGGATCTGTTTACATGATTTTATGCAGTTGTGGCACGTACATTACTTTCAAAGAACATCTTGCCAATTGGATTTGGAATACCGGCAAGGATGGGTTCTGGGGTCTTGTGGATGGCATTGCCCAACCTGTGCATGGAGTTTGATTTGTGCTGTTTCAGTCTTCAGGGCAGATGCTCCCTGGGATTCTCCCGCGTGCAGCTCAGTGAAGAGGCCTCCCTGCAGTTTGTCCACTCATCAGAGACGCTGACTCTCACTCTGAACCACACAGCTGAGCATTTGTTGGAGGCAGATATTAAACTCTTCCGGAAATACTTTTGGGACAGAGCCTTTCTTGTCAAGGTTTGTGTCCAGTTTTTGCCATTATTACACAATAGTGCAGGTTCCTCTAGAGAATTGGAGAGTGTTAGATCAGTAAAATGAAGATTTCATATATTTTGGAAAAAAGACAATAATGCTTTGGATGTTCTTGTTTCCTTTACAGATCTTCTTTCTTTCTTTCTTTTTTCACCCTCCTTTGTGTTTTTGAGTCAGCCCTATTCATGGGACAAGGTATGTTTCCCAGGCTGGCCTTGAACTCATAGTCCTCCTGACTCTCTGCTCCTGAGTGCTGGAATTAGAGGCATTACCACCACATCCGGCTCCCATGGCTGGGTTTTAATTTTTTAATATTGGTGTTTCTCTGTACTTATTGGCTGTATTATAATTCTTATCTAAAACAATTGTGTTTAGGGATATTTTATGTATATATTAATACTCCTGGGCTATCTTATGACTTAGGCATAGTTGAGCTTTTGTCTCAGTGTACTAATGGGAACAGGTATGAACTTGGTCCTTTCTCAAAGAGGTTTACCTTCCCAGCGTGGCCCATACAGCAGGACTGAGGCCATGCCCATCTCGGGTTAAAATGTGTCACCGTCATTATTGTTATTACTGTTATTTAGTAGATTTTGAAAGAATATGAAGAATATGAACAGATATTAATTATTAAGCAAATTGTTATTTTGAGTAGAGTAGGTCAGTTTAGTGGACAGTGGTCAGGGTTCAACACACTCACTCTTAGTTCCTGTGAGTTCCCAGGTTCTCAGGCACACTGTTAGCACGGTGTAGTTTTCATGACTATACAGGCTTCAACACGGATTTGAGAGTCAGCTTAGAAAACAGATGCTGTCATTTATCACAGTTTTGACTTCTGTGTGTTGTTGTGTTTGTGTTAAGTAATTAAGCTAAAAACTTAGTAAAAACCATTATATATCAAGTAAATATTATTATTGGCTTATTCCATGTAGAGTTTTATTTAAACAATTAAAACATGCTCTTCAGAGTATGACCTACCTCTGTTGGGTTTTTGAAAACTTTGTGTATAATTTTTTTTGGTAGCACTGGGGCTTGAAGTCAGGCCCTCATGTTTGCTAGATAAGCACTTGAGTCACTCTAACAGCCCCTTTGTGTATACTTTCTGACACAGTATTATATACAGTACATACAAATGTGGGTTTTTGCTTCATTGCTATTTAAAGATATTAAAACCTCACCGGGCATGGTGATGCACTCAGGAGGCAGAGCACTGAGAGTTCAAGGATGGCCTGGGTAAAATTAGGAAGACCCTATCTTCAGAAATTCAAGTGGTAGAGTGCTTGCCTAGCAATGGCAAAGCCTTGAGCTTAATACCCAGTTGCAGTTCTCCTCATTCCCCGCCCTCCACCGGCCCCCAGAAAAAAACTAAAACGTTCAGCCATTGCTGTGGTTTTTTGTTTTTTTTTAACCAAGGCTCCAAATTGTGGTTATTGGAGCCTGGCAGATGCTTGACTTTCATGTGCAGCAGTAGCTTCCATCCTGAAGCCCCAGAGGGACAGAGCCCAGATGGGGTGCTCAGACAGCAGTGGCACTTGGTGACTAAGCTCCTAAAAAGAATAGAACAAGCTCCACATGCAGCAAAACATACTGAGTGTTCGCTTCCCTGTAGACTCCTCCCACTGCTTCAGCTGCATTGATGATGTCACACATGCATTTAAGATAATGCTGATGACTGAAGGTTTATGGCAATAAATCTACGTACATCAATAAGTTATTGTAGTTGACTTCATGATAACGAAGACCAAATGGAGACACCTCTGCAGTTTCCCTGAGGTTTCCATTTCATGATAAAAGAGTCAGTTAAAATAGAACAGCCTTTTACTCATGTGTCAGCACTCTTTTCCTTCCTACCTCAAAGTGTATGGCTCGGTGGAGAGTTGGGGGCGGGGTGGGGGGGAGTCTTCCTAAAATCCAAAGCCATTCATCTTGACCAGCCTGAAAAAATGATTCTCTAGTATTATTGGATTTAAAATTGCTGTGGGACATCTTCCTTGGCTAGATGTTATTTTAAATGTAAACAAGTGGTAATTATCATAGGAATTGTCCACACTAAACTTTACAGCCCTGGATAACAAATACCATGAGATTATGCATGAACTATGATTAGAAAGCATTCGTGCTAAATTGGGTGTGGTGGCACACACCTACCATCCCATCACTCAGGAGACTGAGGAAGGATTGTGAGTTCAAGGCCAGCCTGGGCTATATAGTAAGAGCTTGGCTCAAAAAACAAAACAAAACGAATAAACAAAAAGAAAGAAAGGTATCATTATACTTTATTGAACCTTATATATCTAAAAGTCTTATGCCTATAATCCCAGCTGCTGGGAGGCTGAGATCAGGAGGATGCAGGTTTGAGGCCAGCCCAAGCAAATAGTTTGTGAGACCCCCATCTCCAAAATAACCAGAGCAAAGTGTACTGGAGGTGTGTGTGGCTCAAGCGATAGAGTGTGGGCTTTGCAAGCATGAAGCCCCGAGTTCAAACCCCAATCCCACCAAAAGAAACAAAAACAAAAACAAAAAGTCTGTTTTATATGACAGTGATCAGCTTTAGAACAGTAAAGCTTGGCTGTAGAAACCCGAGCTTGCCATACCATACCCGAGTGGTTCTGCTGGTTCTCGTCAGAAGCCAAACTTGGTCAGAATTCTAAACGTTTCAGGTTTTCACTCTTTGTTGCTATCGACAATGATGGCATGGCAATTTGTAATACATAGAAATGTTCAAATGATAAGTTGGTGCCAGATATCAAAACTGTAAAGACAGATACTAAGAATCTTGTTAAAAAACAGGCAAAATCTTCCTCCCTTTCTCTTTCCTTCTCTTTTCTTGTGCTGGGGATTAAAACCAGGGTCTCATGCATACCCCTGAGCTATACCCTGAGCCACAATAAGCAAAATCTTAGCAGTATCTTTTAATCATTTTAAAATTATCTCCTCATAACAAAAGGTTTTCCTATTAACCAAAATGCTGGTAATTTAGTTCTTTAACTGAGCTAAAATTAATAAGGCAACTAGGAGGAGGTGACTAGTTCAAAGTACACCATACACACCTATGGAATTATCACTAGAACCCCCTTGTACTATTAGTGGATGCTAATAACAAGTTTTTCTTAAAATAAGGCCAACTAGGAAATTTATGTTTCTACAGTTGCATCCCAAATTACTCATGAGGATGAAGATTAGGTTTCTATTCCTGCCATGTATAAAAATCGGTATTATATTTCAGGCCATGTATAAAAATCAGTATTATATTTCAGGCCATGTTTCATAATCAGAAACCAGCATTGTCTGATGCCCTTTTCTCCAATGGGCTTGGCCACTCCCCTCATTGAAACACAAGGGGTTCAAGGTCAAGGATGACCCCAGGTAAATGTGGGGCAGATGAATGTCTCAGGTCCTGAGCCTGGATGGTGACAGTCTTCCAGCCCCAGATCCCCATGCTGATGTCTCCTTGGTACCTCCCAGTACAGACATTCTTTTCTATCTCCTAATCCACAGGGTCATAGGAGAGAGAACCATGTCCTGCAGGGAGGGCTGGGGGATAGCCCATGGAGGTTGGGTGACCAGGCACTCTGTGCTGTCTGCCCCATTGTGGTTTAGTAAATTGTATCTATTTTCATGTTTCTTTTGCTCTGGTCTCTAGATGTTGTTCTGAAATGGTCAGAGTGAGGCACTTGATCCCCCACATTCTTGGGGGGATGCAGGGGTCTGTGTCATTTGTGTGGTTACCCACTCAAGGAGCTGAAGGTTTATTCTGGAACATGTGCCGATGCAATCTTGGGCTGTTTTACTCCTTGGCACATCAACACATAATTCTGTGTTTCCTCACATTTTCACGGACTAAGGAAACTTGAAAGAGAAATTTGGATGGTCTCTCTTCTTTAAGGCCTTGGGAAGGTCCACCAGCTTAGCTCCAGTCAGGGAGGGCCTGTGTCAGTGAGTGCCAGCTTGCAGTTCTGACCTGTGCTCATCCTGGATGCTCCTTGTGGTCGTGGTCCTGCCCTCTCATCTGGTCCTGCAACATCCCAGTACCTTGGGTCTGGGTGTGGGATGTGCCAGGTGGATAGGTGCATAATCCAGGGGGCTTTATTTTGGTCTCAAGATTCTCTGCTCTCTTTCTGGCTCATGCATCACACCCTTGAGAACCTCCTCGTTGATGTGACCTGCAAAAAAGACACAGATCTGTGGCAGGAACATTTTTGGCCCCTGCCTCTAGGTTTTTCCTGACTTCTTTCCCTGTCATCCCAGAGCACTGGCTGTGTGTTCTCTAAGCAGTTTTTACCCACCCCTTTCCTTCCTGGCCTTCCCAGCTCTGGGATTAATTGTGATTTTTTGTGACTTGTATTTCTGAAGCCTGAAATGGTTTTCAGTGATTTTTCTCCCCCTTCATTTCTTAGGCTCTTCAGCAAGAAGCCAGGCCAGAGGAAAGACCAACTATACCCTCTGGAGCTGCAGAAACTAAAGAAGGTGGGTATGCCCTTTCCCCATCATGGAACCCAGAAAGGGCAGGACTAACCAGTCACCTATGAATCACATGGAAAAGTAGAGCAAGAACCAAGGGGCTCAGAGCAAGATCTGGGGGTGTGAGAGCTCTTACACACAGTGTACTGTCTAGTTCTCCTTTTATTCAACTAGCATTTACTTAGCACTGTTTGCTGATCCTGGGCCAGGTCCACACATTCATGATCTTCAGAATACTCTCCCCCACACACAGATTGTTCTCCTCATTCCAAAGTTGAGTTTGTTCATTCATTTACCCCTTCTGTCAATTGTTCTTTTGCTCATTCAGTCTTTGGGGCATTCCTTCTCTGGACTGGGCAGGTGGGTCATCAATGGGATGCTTCAGAAATCACGAAGGTGTGGTGGCCAGGTGTGCTATTTGGGAGGTGGAGGTAGTTAGTCACTTTGAGACCAACCTGGGCAGTTAGCATGACTCTAGCTCCAGAACAAACTAAAAGCAAAAGGTCTTGGGCATTGCTCAGGTGACAGAGCTCTTACTTAGGAAGCGGAAGACCCTGAGTTCAAACATCAGTTACCAACCCCCTTTTTTTTAATTTATTTATTCACATGTGCATACATTGTTTGGGTCCTTTCTACCCCCGTCCCCTCTCTCTCCCTCTCACCCCCTTCACGTCCAGGCACAACCTGTTCTGCCCTTTTCTCCAATTTTGTTGAAGAGAAAACATAAGCAATAATAAGAAAGACATAGCGTTTTTGCTAGTTGAGATAAGGATAGCTATACAAAGAGATTCCTACCATTGCTTCCATGTACAAATGTGTTACGACCCAAGTTGATTCATATCTAGCTTACCTTTTCACTATCTCCTGATCCCCTTCCCATGTTGACCTCTGTCAATTTAAGGTTTCTGTATTAGCTCCTCTGCAGTGGGAACATCAAATACTATCATGTTTTGTGTTTCTTACCTATCCCCATACCTCCCGTGTGTGCTCTCACCTTATCATGTGCCCCAAGTTCAACCACATTGCTGTATTTGCCCTAGATCTAAAGTCCGCATATGAGAGAGAACATAACAATTTTTGGTCTTCTGAACCTGGCTAACCTCACCCAGAATGGTATTCTCCAGTTCCATCCATTTACTTGAGAATGATAAGATTTCATTCTTTTTCATGGCCGAGTAAAACTCCATTGTGTATAAATACCACATTTTCCTAATCCATTCGTCAGCAGTGGAGCATCGTGGTTGTTTCCATAACTTGGCTATTGTGAATAGTGCTGCAATAAACATGGGTGTGCAGGTGCCTCTGGAGTAGCCTGTGTCACATTCCTTTGGGTATATCCCCAGAAGTGGCATTTCTGGATCATATGGCAAATATATGTTTAGTTTTTTAAGAAGCCTCCATATTTTTTTTTCCAGAGTGGTTGCACTAGCTTGCATTCCCACCAGCAGTGTACCAGGGTTCCTTTTTCCCCACATCCTCTCCAACACCAGTTGTTAGTGGTGTTGCTAATGATGGCTATTCTAACAGGGGTGAGGTGGAATCTTAGTATGGTTTTGATTTGCATTTCCTTTATGGCTAGAGATGGTGAGCATTTTTCATGTGTTTTTTTGGCCATTTAGTTTCTTCTTTTGAGAAAGTTCTGTTTAGTTCACTTGCCCATTTCTTTATTGGTTTATTGATTTTGGGAGAGTTTAGTTGTTAAAGTTCTCTGTATATTCTGGTTATCAGTCCTTTGTCTGTTGTACAGCTGGCAAATATTTTCTCCCACTCTGTGGGTGGTCTCTTCAGTTTACAGACTATTTCTTTTGTTGTGCAGAAGCTTTTTAATTTTATGAAGTCCCATTTATCCATCCTTTCCCCTAGTTCCTGGGCTACTGGGGTTCTATTGAGGAAGTACTTGCCTATACCTACTACTTCCAGAGTATTCCCTGCTCTTTCCTGTACTAACTTCAGAGTTTCAGGTCTGATATTAAAGTCCTTGATCCATTTTGAGTTGATATTAGTGCAGGGTGAAAAACATGGATCTAGTTTCAGTATTTTGCAGACAGATAACCACTTTTCCCAGCTACATTTTTTGAAAAGGCTGTCTTTTCTCCATCATATGTTTTTGGTGCCTTTGTCAAAAATAAGGTGGGCATAGCTGTGTGGATTCATATCCAGGTCCTCTATTCCTGTTCCACTGGTCTTCATGTCTGTTTTTGTGCCAGTACCATGCTGTTTTTATTGCTATTGCTTTGTAATATAGTTTGAAGTTGGGTATTGTGACTTGCTGAGTATTGCCTTGGCTATTTGTGGTCTCTTGTGTTTCCAAATGAACTTTAGGGTAGTTTTTTCAATCTCTGTGATGAATGTCATTGGGATTTTGATGGGAATTGCATTAAACATGTAGATTGCTTTTGGTAGTATAGACATTTTTACTTCTGGATTCTACCAATCCATGAGCACAGATCTTTCCACCTTCTGTAGTCTTCCTCAATCTCTTTCTTCAGGGGTTTGTAGTTCTCCTTGTAGAGGTTATTCACATCCTTGTAAAGTTTACTCCTAGGTATTTGATTTTTTTGAGGCTATTGTAAATGGAATTTTTTCCATATATTCTTTCTCAGTTTGTTTGTTATTGGTGTATAGAAAAGCTAATGATTTTTGTAAGTTGATTTTGTATCCTGCCACCTTGCTGTAGCTGTTTATGGTATCTAGGAGTTTTGGGGTAGAGTTTTTTGGGTTGTTAAGGTATAGAATCATGTCATCTAATCCTATATCTTTTTGACAGTTTCTTTACCTATTTGTATTCCTTTTATTCCTTCTTCTTATTTGTATTCCTTTTATTCCTTCTTCTTGACTAATTGCTTTGGCTAGGAATTCCAGTACTATGTTGAATAGGAGTGGAGATAGTGGGCACCCTTCTCTCGTTCTTTATTTTAGGGGAAATGGTTTCAGTTTTTTATCATTAAGAATGATGCTGGCTGTAGGTTTGTCATATATAGCCATTACAATGTTGAGGTACTTTTCTTCTAGTCCTAGTTTTCTTAGAGCTTTTATCATGAAGTGGTGTTGGATCTTATCAAAGGCTCTTTCTGTATCTATTGAGATGATCAAGTGGTTTTTGTCTTTAGTTCTATTAATGTGCTGTATGACATTTATAGATTTGCGTATGTTGAACCATTCCTGCAAACCCTGGGATGAAGCCAACTTGGTTGTGGTGAATGAGCTTCCTGTTGTGTTGTTGGATTTGGTTTGCCATTATTTTATTGAGGAGTTTTGCATAGATATTCATTAGGGAGATTGGCCTATAATCCTCCTTTTTGGAGGTGTCTTTGTCTGGTTTTGGGATAAGTGTAATACTGGCTTCATAAAATGAGTTAGGCAGTGTTCCTGCCCTTTCTATTTTGTGGAAAAGTTTATGGAGGGTTGGTATTAATACTTCTTTAAAGGTCTGGTAGAATTCAGCAGAGAATCCATCAGGTCCTGGACTTTTCTCTTTTGGGAGACTCTTTATTGCTGCTTCAATTTCATTTTGTGTTATAGATCTATTCAGGTGATTAATATCCTCTTGGTTCAATTTTGGATGGTCATAAGTATCTAGAAATCTGTCCATTTCTTCAAGATTTTAAAATTTATTTGAATATAGGTTCTCAAAGTAATCTCTGACGATTTCCTGGATTTCTGTGGTGTTTATTGTTATCTCCCTTTTTGCATTTCTGATTTTATTGATTGGGTTTTTTCTCTCTTCATTTTAGTCAAGTTTGCCAGGGGTCTGTCAATCTTGTTTAATTTTTCAAAGAACCAGCTTTTTGTTTTGTTGATTCTTTGTATGGCTTTTTTGGTTTCTATTTCACTAATTTCAGCCCTTAGTTTTATTATTTCTCTCCTTCTGCTTGTTTTAGGATTTGCTTGTTCTTCCTTTTCTAGGAGTTTTTGAGATGTAGCATTAGGTCATTTATTTGAGATCTTTCTGTCCTTTTGATATATGCACTCATGGCTATAAACTTTCCTCTTAGGACTGCCTTTGCTGTGTTCCATAAGTTCCGGTAGGTCGTGTTTTCATTTTCGTTAACTTCCAGGAACCTTTTAATTTCCTCTTTTATTTCATCAATGACCCATTAATCATTGAGGAATGTGTTGTTCAGCTTCCAGTTGTTTGCATGTTTTCTACTGTTGTTTTTGTTGTTGAGTTCTAGTTTTAATGCATTGTGACCAGATAGAATGCATGGGATTATTTCTATTTTCTTATATTTTCTGAGGCTTGCTTTGTGCAGTTTTGGAGAAGGTTCAATGGGATGCTGAGAAGAATGTATATTGTGTGGATTTTGGGTGAAATAGTCTATAGACATCAGCTAGGTCCATTTGATCTATGGTGTGATTTACTTCTAGAATTTCTTTATTGATTTTTTGTTTGGATGACCTGTCTATTGGTGATGGGGGGTATTAAAGTCTCCCACTACCACTGTGTTGGGGTCTATATATGTTTTTAGGTCCTTCAGAGTATGTTTGATGAAATTGGGTGCACTGACGTTGGGTGCATATAAGTTGATAATTGTTATTTCTTTTGGTGTATTTCACCTTTTATTATATGGAGTGTCCTTCTTTATCTTGTTTGATCAATGTAAGTTTGAAGTCTACTTTGTCCAAGACAAGTATTGCTACTCCTGCTTGTTTTGGGGGTCCATTGGCTTGGGAAATCTTCCAGCCTTTCACCCTAAGGCAGTGCTTGTTTCTGTCAATGAGACTGGTCTCCTGTAAACAACAGATTGTTGGATCTTCCTTTTTAATCCAGTTTGCCAAATGGTGTCTTTTGATGGGGGAGTTAAGTCTGTTAACATTCAGTATTAGTATTGATAGGTATGTGGTGATTCCTGTCATTTAGTTGTTTTTGTTGTTTAAAGGTTTGATTGTGTGCAGCTGAATCAATATTACTCTCTGATTCCTTGTCTTTTCTTCTCCTGTGGTTTGGTACTGCCTGTCCTCTCCTGGCTTTGTTGCTTTCATTTTCTGTGTGCAGAATTCCTTGA